AGAGAGAGAGAGAGAGAGAGAGAGAGAGAGAAGAACTACTATGATCTCACCGAGCTGCCAGCGTCTGTCTGTCTCTTGACAAGCTTGTGAAGTTGGCTCTTTTTGTCTGGGGGGAAAAAAAAAAAAAGAATTAACAAACTTGACAATCAAAAAGACAACTAGGCCGATATACACACAAATGAACACAGTAATCTAGTCCTACAAACACCTAGATAAACACAGTATTATAGTTTCACTTACACACAAAAACATAATAATATTATTCTAGTCTTAGTCTTACTATGGCCTATACACAAATAAATACACTAATCCTGCACATAACTAAATAAACACAATAGTCCAGTTTTACTCACACTCAAATAAACAGAATGTTATTATAGTCTTTAAAAAAAACAACAGGTAAACATAATGTTGTAGTTTTACACACACATAAATAAACATAATACTCCAGTTTTACTTACACTTAAATACAATAATATTCTTCTTCTATATACACATAAATAATCACAATATTCTAGTTCTAAATACACATAAATAATCACAATATTCTAGTTGTAAATACACATAAATAAACACAATATCTCGTTCTTAATACACATAAATAGACACAATATTATAGTCTACATACTCATAAATAATAAAAATATTCTAGCTTTAATAACACATAAAGAAGCAGAATGTTCTAATCTTATTCACACTCAAAGTAAAAACAATATTCTAGTTCTACACACCCATGAATAATCAAAGTTTTCTAGCTTTACTTACACACAAATAAACAGAATGTTCTAATCTTATTTACACACAAACACAATATTCTGGCCCTACACCCACACAAATAAACTCAATATCTAAGGCAAACTTACATACATATAAACACAATATCTTGGGCAGACTTACACAAGTAGAAACGCAATATTCTAGTTCTACAATCACACAAATTAAATATAACACAATATTGTAGTCCTATATTACACAAATAAACACCATATTCAAGGCAGACTGACACTCAAATAAACACAATATTCTAGTCCTACATTCAAACAAATAAACACATTTGTCTAATCCTACATACATAAACTATTAAACCAACACAATAAACTAAGCCAACTTATTCACAAAAAAACATGATATTTTAGGCAGACTTTCACTCAAATAAATATAATATTCCAGTCCAGACTCACACATATTATATAAACACATTATTCTAGGCATACTTTCACATAATAAAACATAATTTTGTAGTCCTACATGCACACAAATAAACACAATAGTCTTATCCTACCTTGATACCAATAAACACTGAAGTTTAGTCCTACTTATGTACAAATAAACATACTAGTCTAGTCCTACATACATACAAATAAACGCAAAGTTATTCTAGGCAAACCAGCACACAAATATACACGATATTCTAGTCCTGCATACATACAAGTAAACACAGTGTTATATGAGAGCATTACTAAACCTGTCGTTTTATGTTGTGGTTATATATTATGTGAGTAATGCTAAACTTGTCGTTTTGTGTCGTGGTTACATTTGAGTTCTGCTAAACATGTCGTTGTATGTTGTGGTAATATGTGTTGTTGTTAGATGCGAGCAATGCTAAATGTGTCGTTATATGCTGTCGTTATATGTGAGTAATGCTAAACCTGTCGTTAGCCTATATGATGTGGTTATACGTGAGTAATTCTAAATCTGTCGTTATATATGTTGTGGTTACATGTGTGAGTAATGCTAAACTTGTCGTATATGTTGTGGTTACATGTGTGAGTAATGCTAAACTTGTCGTATATGTTGTGGTTATATGTGAGTAATACTAAACTTGTCGTTATAATATGTTGTGGTTATATGTGAGTAATGCTAAACTTGTCGTTATGTGTTGTGGTTATATTTTATATGTGAGTAATGCTAAACTTGTCGTTATGTGTTGTAGTTATATGTGAGTAATTCTAAACTTGTCGTTATGTGTTGTGGTTATATTTTATATGTGAGTAATGTTAAACCTGTCATTATAAGTGAGTAATGATAAACTTGTCTTTATAATAAGTTGTGGATATATGTGAGTATTTATAATGCTAAACCTATCGTTATATGAGAGCAATG